GTTAAAATGCATGTTTCCCCTCCCTCCCATAAAATCCACAGGATATGGGGACAGAAACTCAAACAATAGGATGCCAAAGGCTTATTCAAATGCAAGCTCTTTGTCAAAAATATTAACCAAGTCTTAGTTACTTCCCAGACCACAGGGTACTATTAGAATACCTTTCTTTATTTTACTCAAATCCATGAAAGATGTTTTCTTGTGTCTTATCGAGTATGGAAAGGCATTCAACTCTGTGGATCATAGCAAACTATGGATAACATTGAGAAGAATGGATATCCTGAAACACTTTATTGTGTTTCTCACACAAAACCTGTACATAGACCATAAGGCAAGGGGTTACGACCTGGTTCAAAATTGAGAGTGATGTGTGTTAGGGTTGTATCTTTCCACCATGCTTGTTCAAGCTGTATAGTGAGCTCATAAACCAACAGCCCGGAATACCATGCAGAAGGCCTGGCTATCAGGATTGGAGGAAGGCTCATTAACAACCTGCAATCTGCAGATGACACGCGTGGCTTGCTGAAAACCAAGGGCACATGCAACTTCCTGACCGTTGAAGACCACAGCATTCAGTATGGATTACAACTCAACGTCACGCAAACAAAATCCTCACAGCTGGATCAATACAGACCTTCACCCTGCATGGAGAAAAGATAGAAGTTATCCCGGATTTCATTTTGCTTGGATTAATCATCATGGCTCATGGAAGCAGCAGTCAGGAAATCAAATGACATATGTTGAACTAGGCAAATCTACTACACAAAACATATTTAAGGCGGTGAAGCATAAAGATGTCACTTTGAGGCTTAAGGTGAGCCTAACCCAAACTGCGGTATTTTCAGTTGCCTCCTAGGCATCTGGAAGCGGTCTGAAGAAGGAGGAGGACGGGCGGAGTAGACTTGCCATAGTTGAAGTAGGTGTGATCTGACTCGAAAGAAGCTCAGTCAGAATGCTCCGAGACGCGCCGATGGCAAGGCTGATCTCATATACTTCGGACGTGCTACCAGGAGGGACCGGATCATGGGACGGAGTGGCACGGTTGGAGGAGCTGCAGAAAAGAGGAAGACCGCAAGTGGGCTGTATTGCTGCAGTAGCTGCAGCAGCAGCATGCTGAGACATAGCAACAGTTGTGAGGATGGCCCAAGACTGCGCGGGTTCGGTTCTTCTGTACGGAGCGTGGCCACACGTGGGTACCTCCCTGTGGCCCCTAACAGCAGCGAACTTTTTCCTCTGGAACTGAGGAGTTTTGCCTTTTATATATTGGCATTTAATACATCTGGGATTTATGTGTACGAGCTATATATATTGATCCATACATGTTCACACACATGTTTAGAACTTCCTGTGATTTATGTGTATGTGCTTGCTTCAATCATATGCAGGTATGCCGTGTTTTACAAAGGCTCACTTTGTGGCACTTCACTTTCCCGAAAGAACCTTAATTGTGCCTGTTTTCACTTATTGAAAAAAAAAATCTGAAGCGGGTTTGAGGTTTTATAGGAAAATGCAGCGATTAAAACTAGGGAGAGCACAGCGCAGCAGAAAGTGGTGTTAGGTTTTAGCCTGATTCCTACTAGAGATTTATTTGTTTTTCTTCATTGTTGCTCTTTTCGCTATTGTGAAGGGTTTTTTCTTTTGTTGATTTGCTCATCGGTCCCTGTTTGCATATTGTAACCTGGTTGATTTTTGTATGATTGATCCCGTATTGTCTTGCTTAATTAATAGTTTTTGAGAATTTATAATGCCTTCGAATTTTCTCCAGAGAATTTAAGCCATTGGCTCATATCAAAAACTGTATCTCTTAATTTCCCAGGCTCATGCCTGATCTTTCTTTCTCTTGTTTGTATTGTTTTCACCAAGGACTTGAGTGTAACATTATATAAAAGGGGCAACGGAGGGCATTTGTTTCTTCGTCCTGACCAAAATTGGGGTACTTCTAAAATAGTCATGTATAACTGTGACAGATACTTAAAAACAATCCAATTAAGGAAGTTCCCTTTAGTTCCCAACTTTTCACAAATGAGTTATTTTT